TGTGTATGTACCAAATCTATGGATTAATAGTTATGAATGAGTGCAAATTTATGGATAAATATTGATGAATATGCAAAAAATGGGTTGCTTCAATGTAGGTTAAATGGAAACAAGTCTGTACATACGTGCTTGAAAGAATAGTTTGTATAAATGTGTGAAAAATTGGTGACAGGCATGCTAATTGCAAACTGATGACAGATGTGTGTAGAGCAGATCACTGTGATTTAGATGTTTTAGGGCTTAAAAAAAAAAAAAAAAACTAGTACTAAGTGTATAAAACAGATTGCTAGAATGTGTGTATATGTGTAATATATATATATATACCAAATGGCATGCAGTTAAAGACTTCATTCTATATGATATGTGTGTATGTGTAATATATATATTATACACCAAATGGCATGCAGTTAGACTTCATTCTATATAAATCTCAAGACTGGATGGACAAAGATACAACATCTCATACAACAGCTCTCATGTATGCATTTCATCTGTAATTGGCTCCTTGACTAGAGTTCAGCTTTAAGTGGCTGACAAGAAAATGGTAAATGCAGCCTATGGATTATATAACTATATTAATATTTTTGCATACAAGAAGCTGTTGCTCCCAACTATAGTTGAGGAAAAAACTGTAAACTAATACCTATGTATGTAACTTGCATTTTTTTTTTCCAGGACACAAACAGTTCCATCCACTACACGGCATATGTTGCAATTTCACTTCTCGAAACCAAATACAGCTTGGGGGTAAGAAACCATCCAATTCAAAACAAACACCTGAGGGGTCCATGCCCGAAAAGTATAATGGGTCTTGCTTGGGAAGTGGGGTGGGAACAAATAATGGTGGCAGACGAGAGGTATTGTGTCCACTTTCAACTTGTAGAAACATTATTTTTCATTGGCATGGTCCTCTTTTCCTTTTTTAATTTTTTTTATTTCACATTTATTTATTTTTTCACGTTTTTGCAAAAGTTGAGCAACTAAAACCTCTGTTTCAGATGCAAATGTAAAACCGTGTAAGCTTTTTTTTTTTTTTGCAGGCTAGCTGGTAAATGGAAATTTTTGTATGCTGTTCATTCCCTCTCCACAATTGCAGTTCAATACAAATGTTCACCTATTGTCAGTGTACCTGTCATGATAGAGAGTTGAGTCCCTAAAATGCCTTTATTGTTTTTTAATTTTGCGTTGTGTTGAATCCACTTATGAGATTTATCCAACCATTGTGGCACCCTCATCCTTCTATCACCCTGCAGGCTTTTCTGGGGATCCCCATTTGGATAGAGAGCTGCCTCTATAAAAAGTTTTAGATTTTGGGCCTCTTGTTCTAATCCACTCTGGAGTCCTAAATCTCCTACAATACAAATCTACCTTTTGGCCGCAGAAGGGACACGAGCCGCAATAAAAAGCTGACATGTTTGAAACCCTTCCTACTCTATCCAAAGCTAAAAGACGTCTCCCCATTAGATACACTTTAATTTGGTTGCTCTAGCCATCTTATGTCTATCGCGAATGGCCAGTCACATTCTGCACCGGTCCATTAATGGCTAAAAGCCTATTGTACACTATATGGTTTTCCATTTGTCTTCCAGAAAACGCTGCTGGAAGGAGCTATGGGGTGTCTGAAAAATGCATCAAAAACAAAGCAAAAAACTGGTGATGAAGTCCTCATGCTGTACGCCTTCACACTGGCTGGTCTCCCAGAATACAGAGATCCTCTGATGGCAAAACTCATGAAGAAAGCCATAGTTAAAGGTGAAGTTTTTGGCATTGAGAGCTTAATGGTTCTTCAGCATGTAAAAGCTTGGGATGAGCAGAGTGATTGTGGTGAATTTACACTCTCTTGCCTGCAATGAGTTGTGTGTATGGTTGTAGGTTATTTTTTCCCCTCCCCTGACCTAACAAACCCACCCTCCCCTTCAACAGATGCATACTTGGCAAGATCCAATGCCCGTGGCCTCCTGTGTTTGACATCCCGCACTGAAAATCCCCTTTCTCCTGGCCATGCCTGCGTATTAGAGCTCTATTGAGGTCATCAGCACTCTAATGTGCAGGCATGGCCAAGAGAGAGGCTTGTAGCACGGGATTAAAACTATCCCTAGAGACAAGTGGGATGTGTTGGTTTAGGGGAGGGGGCAAAAAAATGTATTTATCTTAACCCTTTCTCTGTCACCGACATATGGCATACGGCGGAACAAAACTGTTCCCAGACTGCCAGGTCAGTATGCCATACATTGGTGGCATTTACCTTCTGCTATAAGCTAAAGCAACCATGAACTTATATTGGAACGGTTCTCCTGAAGGTCCCCTTTAAATATAATGGCTGTCATCAGCGGCTAATAAGTCGGTGATGACCGCTATTAACAAAAATTCGGTGCACCCCCGCACCGGCCACAGGCATCTTCTCCGTGTGTCTCTATGGATCCCTGCTGCTCTTCCCCCACTTGTATGGGCTGAGGCAGCGGGGATCCAAGTAGAAATGGCCGGCAGAGGAGGGAGCTGCTCTATCGCGATGATCAAGCAGCATGAGAGAGCAGCCAAGCGGGGAGGAGAGCTGCCGTTGTCGTCCTATCAGTTTTAGGATGACAGCGGCTGTGTGCGTGGTTGAGCAATGGATCTGTAAATGTGTGATATCTGGGATCATTTACCGAGCCTCTGTGCAGCACACACCTCATCTGATCGTTCCAGTGTTAGTACTATGTGTCCCCAGTTATTTACAATGTGTGCCCAGTATTTTCGTTTTGTGAAGGTAAAAAAATCAAAGCAATAATGTTAAAGAAAAATGGAAACCTTCAATTTAGCAATAAAATAAATCTTGCTGAAATCGCGTGTCACTAATTACTATTAAAGGGGAACTATGGGGTTAAGGCTTTTCCCCATAGTTCTCCTTAGGGTAACGGGAGGCCACAAACTAGCGTCCTCCCGTCACCCTAGGCTGTAGCTCGCGGTATACTGAGACACTTCAGTTTACCGCGAGCAGCAGCTCGTGGTATACTGATATGCTGAAGCGGATCCCGACAATTGTGCCGGGATCCACCCAGCTGCGTGACTGACAGCTGGCTCTGCCTATCTAGAGGCAGAGCCAGCTGTACCCGCCCC